CAACAGAGAGACAATTGCTCAATATCGTTGTATTTATCAAGGGAGGGTTTTTCTGAGTACCTGCTGCATAAAGGCACAAGAATAAAGCCAGAATGTGCCTTGCTCGGTGGCACAGCAGCTAATAAACCAGAGGAGAGAGTTACACATTAACTTTCCCCACCCAGATTTTCCCGGCTCGTCAGAAGAGTTCAAACTTCCTGTCACAAGTTCTCTCTGCGCAACCTTTGGGCCTCCATCCATTCCTGACAGAAATTAAAACGGCTTCGAAAACAGAAACTGACGTGGAAAAAGATTGTAAACCCAAGCCATAGAGCGCAAACTGTGCTTTCATATGAACATTTTCCGTCTAAGTTTACTGAATTAAAAATTTTTTTTTTAAAAATACAAAAGACCCTTGGAAAATAAAGATGTGCATCAACGTGTTTCACTATGAGTCCAGTGGTTTTCTGCAGAGGCCTCAGTAACTGGGACAAACCAGAGGTAGTGGGAACAAAGGAGTCACCTGACAGCAAGAGCTGAAACTGAAGGGGCCCATGATTTTCAATGAAACTCCAGAGGGAAATCATTCTTAACACGACCAACATGTTATGTGACCAGGGCTCAATCTGTAAACTGACTGATGATGGAACGCAAATAGCGGGCAGGCTGGTAGGGGGGCCTCCCCAATTCAATTCAATTCAATTTCAATTCAGTTTATTTATATAGCGCCAAATCACAACAAAGTTGTCTCAGGGCACTTTACAGGAACATTTACATACATAAAAGCCAATTAGTAAAGTTCTCTATCTAAGGAATCAGAAAATTTTGAATAAAGTAGATGATATTTCCTGCACTTTGGTGTATTTTAACGAGTTGTTAAACACGTTAACGTACATTTGTAAACACTGTCATCCTACCCCCCCCCCCCACACACACACACACACAACTGTTTTGAGCCAACCCTTCTCCCTTGAATTCACTGTCCGACTCCACATGCGAAACCTCCAGGCACTCACCCCCACCACTCTTTTAGGAGCGGAAAGTTTTTTTTTTAAGGGTAGAGGCAGAAATGCTTCACTTTAAGGGGCAGATGATTGTATGTGAATTAAAAATTACTGGGGGAGTGGTGGCGCAGAGGTTAGAGAAGGTGGGCCTGTGATCGGAAGATTGCCGGTTCAAGCCCCATCAAAAATGTGGGTGGGGAAGGTGAAGCACCCACACCTGCCCCCACCCTCATACGCCCCACTCTGGGCCCATGAGCAAGGCCCTTAACCCCCCCATCTGCTCCCTAAACAGGTCTCTCTTGAAAATGAGTTCTCGTGGCTCAATGAGACTACCTGTATAAATAAAGGGTAAATGAAAAAGAAGTTGTGTAGTGTCGTTTGTTGTGTTTAAAATTAGTGTTTATGCAATTCCAGTTTGCATATCTAATATAAGTTTTATTCGTTCAAGGCAGTCATATTTGTTCATAATTTTATTATTAATAAGCCTGAGTGTTGCTGGATCCAAGCGAACAGTTGCTGGAATGCACCCTGTCAAAATAAGAGAGTTCCCGGATCCTGTTCCGGTAGGATCCGGCTCAAATTAAGCCCCAGTTATTACCATTTGATTAAACTAATCATAGAAATAATGGACAAATTTTAGCTTCATACAACTGATTAAGCCCCATCAACACATTACCATTGATTACCAGTACATTGTTATACATAATAAAATCCCTCAACTTTGATAATTTCATGCCAAGTTTTTAAACATTTTAGGCTAATAAACTAAAATATTCCAAACAACTATTCATACAGTCTTTGATGGAAAAAGGATTCTCACCCCCACATCTGCCAGGAAACAGAGAAGAAATGGCTTCAGGGCCCGGTATACTCCATCTGAAGCCGAATAGAAGACTCGGCGTCACGTGGTTGCGGGGACGTTCGTTTTCGCTCACACCTTTCATAGTCCACGAGACACACGGTGCAGAGCTCCTGGGAAACCCCTCCCTCTGCAGTATACGTCACCGTCGCCAGGATCTCCACTTCATCCCTGCATCCGCCGTTTGGCCACAAGTCATCACAAAGAGAGCGCCACACTTCTCAGCAGACTCCTCCGTGGATAAAGTGTGCGCAGTCTCCTCTCCATCCAGGACTTTTTGGCCATTTGATTATCTCAATGAGTCTGTGAGAGTCGTACAGCTGAATGTCTGAGCGCTTTTCCGCATTGACAAACATGCCCACAAACTTCTGACCAATCACACAATCCTTGGCGCAAACACCTGTGACAAAAAGTTCTGACTGGGCCTTGTGTCGAGAAGGAGCGGGCAAAGCTGCTGTGAGAACAACATGACAACTTTTGTCACGCAACCATGTCAATGAGATGATTTCGACGTTTCGCATGGAGTATGCAGGGCCCCTCAATAAACATGAGTCTGAGGTCTTTACAAACCACAACCCCTCAAAACCACAACCAGCAGGGTCCAAAATTATTTGGTACTGGTCCAAAACAAAATCAGAACAGCCCCTGTGGTTCTTCATAGTGGTCAGAGGTGATAAGATATCTACAGTCTGCAACAGAGGCCTAGATATTGAGCGGTTGGTTGACATTTACTCATTGGTGAATTATATCAATTATTGCAAGAACTTTTTTTTTAACTTTACCATAGATTGGATCATTAAAAGTGAGTTTATGTTGAAAGATTATTAACAAATAACATCTTACCTATTGTAGATAGCTCTTTGAATGACCTTTGAATGACTAGTTCTTACTAAATTGACAAGTTCTTACTAAATTAACAAGATTATCGCTAATCTGAGCTGGGTCAAGACCAAAGTAGATTGCTGCTATCCTAAAACAGCACCAATATTTGAAATTTTTTAATTATAAAGCTCTGCTGTCAGTTTCACATCACACAGCTCAACAAATTTAGTGTTCAGCAGAAAGCAAAAATAGCAGTAACAACGGCAACTAGCTTTAGCACTTCCTGTGCAGCCTGGGGGCACTTCCAGCAGAGCCATCACAAGTTTTCTGTCAGAATAACCCTGTTGTGAAAAATTACATACATAAAGGGCTGCATTTACATTCTTAGTCAAAATGAAACTCCACTTCTCCAAACTGAGGTCAATAAAAGAGCCATTTACAACAGGTAAGATATTAACAGTTTATAACACTGCATAACCCTTCAAAAGACAGACTTGTTAACACTAAACGTGAATAATTAAGGCATGTTTATAGCCATTATTAGTAGACTCTTAGTGAACAAGCATCACTGCTGCCTATTCTCATGAGACATTAATATTTTCCTGGTGTTGTTCTGGTGTTCAATGTGAAACGTGTTTGTCTGTGTCCAAGGACAATAACAGTTTTCACCTGGTCAGAAAAACTTGCTAATGCTTTTAAACGCTTGCACCAACTCCACAAAATGAATATCCCCGCCATTTTTATTTTTTATTTTTACACCTGCATCTCAGCATACCAAAGCTGTAGTGATGCACTGAACCCCGCCTCCTCTCGCTCCTGTCATGCCATTTTCTCGCAATGTCTCAGTCATCTTGCCCAAGCCTAATCATCTAATTACAGGCTAAGACTTGTTGACTTTGTATTGAAACTGCCATCCAGTCTCAGAAACAGCAGCTACAGCACAGGTTTGTTCACTGAGCCACGAGGGCCTCATTTACAATACAAATCAGGGTGGGTGGGCAAAAGAGGAGAAATTCAGGGCAAATGCAAACTCGTCCCTCAACAACAAAGTCTTTCACTTACTGCATCACATGTTGATGCTAAAGACTGAAACACAAATATTCTTTTTCCTTAATAGAAGCAAAATGAACATCAAATGGCAGCTCAGCGACCGACTCTAGCGAGGTGTTTTATTTGGTATCTTTTAAAACGATCTGTTTAAAAGTGCATCTATAAGCAACTCTAAATACAGTTCAAACTTAACACTTTTTTCTGTGAAACAGCTTGCACACCGTGTCTTCTGTGGTCACCAAAGTGCAGAGTCTGTTTCTGGTGAAACAGGAAGCATGCTTTTATCTCTGCTGCACTGAGCAACTTTTAGAAACAAGTTCTCAACATTAAGCCAAAAAAAAAAAAAAAGTTACTCATCGAGAAGCATGTAAAGAAAGAAAACCCATTAAGGAAGGTTTGTTCGAATGTGTGTGAAAGAGAGAGTGAACTACTTCTTATTCAAATGCACAGATAGGACATTACTTTACAAGATGAGCAGCATTCTGTTCTGGAGAGCTGAGGGTTTGATGCACGAAGCAGTGCATGACTGACTTCTTGCATAGAGGTGGCGCTGAAACCATAAACAAAAGGTGACTTTTGCTACAAATGTAAAAATGTGTCCTTTCAAAAATGACAGATTAGGATTTGGTTGGCAATTATAGGACAAAATCAACACAGTGTATAATTACCGATTACCCCACCAAGAAAAATACATGTGGGTTTGGGCCAGCGGCTTGCAAAACACTGTTCCCGCCCTTGTTTCAACACCCCTTATAAGGCAACACTTTGTAAAAGAAATACAACCAAGATGCATCAGTAAAAGAATTGTTTCAATCCGTTCTTAAATCGCCAGGTGCAAAAAGTCCCTCGCATTGCTTTGTTTTATGAAGGCTCAAAATGCCATTAAAAAATATAAAAATAATCATTCAAACTAAGCTGCTGTGACAATAAAATGTTAAAAAAAATGTTCTTGTGTTTCCATTTAGAAGGCTGATTGTGGAATTAGAGCTGGAAAGAGTGAGATGTGGGAAAAATATGCATCAGTTGAACTGGAACAACTTGTTAAAGCGCCCTTCAGAAACCTTTGATCTGACAAGGTGTGTTACTGAAAATGAAAAGAGGCGCATTATGTCAATATAACCACCTTTCTACGTCTCCACTAGCTCCATTCCTCAAATATACGTTCATTTAACTCGTAAGCGGTGAGGAAAGTTCATGAATTTATTCATTTGTTGGCATTTGTTTCACCATCACTTCAAAACTATCAAACAAGCAAAAAGTTAAGTGGAGAAGAATTCATCACTGACCTCAAAGACTCAGGATTCGGATGACAGGGAGATCCATTTTGGCAATCGAGCAAGTGTCGATCGCAGCAACCATTGAAAATAAGGATAAAAACGAGCAACAAAAAGGCGAAACTGGGTTAATCCAAGATGTACTCAGATGAGAACAGTGCCTAAAAGATGAGGACTGGCCAGACCCACTGCTTTCTCACTGTGACAAAACAAATATGGACAACAGGAGGGGAGGAGGGAAAAAACACAAGACAATGCAATGGCTGCTGTTTGAAACAGAAAAAGGAGAAGTGTAGTGAAGCAACTTGTCCTCTCCCTATGAGTCACGCAGCGCTGTCGCCATTGGTAGAGGAGGCCTGAGGCACTGTGCCTGTACCTGGCCAATCAGCGATCGGTATGAAAATCCTTTCAGGTGAGTTGTGCGCGTGGCAGGGATTGGACAAGGCTGCGTGGGGGGAGGGAAGAGCAGAGAAGGCCTACGAGAAGGCCACACCTAGAACGGACCGAAAGATGATCAACGGGTTTCTCCTGCAGAGGAGGTGTAGGTAAACAGCTGAACAGGTATGCACCGACCTTAGACTTTGACCAAACAATAAGGGCCAGGCAGGGTGATTAAAATCTGCATGGCAGCTCAGAGATAAAGTTCACATCTCTCCGTGCCCCATGAAAATATCTACAACGAATTGAGAGTTTTTAACGGCTTCAGTAACGCACTCAAGTCACTGACTGGGAAAGGTTTGTTAGATCATTATAAGAGACTTGGGAAAGTGCAAACATTTTATTTAGGTAAGAGTGGCATTAAAAGCTATTTTTCTCTTCATTTTCCTCCATATCTTGATCTTTTTCACAACATCTGAATCTAAGATGTTACTTCAAAATAGAAACGTCACCCACCACCAAACGGCAAATTATGTTTTTGCTTTTGTCTGCCTGTGCATGTGTTTATGCGTCTATCAGTTAGCAAAATATTACATGAACAACTAAAGGAAGTTTTATGAAACTCTTAAAAAGTAAACAGCAGATTTACCTCGACAACAAAAGATGGCCGCCACTGTCAATTACCCATTAAAAAAAATACACAAATTGAAAACACTTAGTATTTTTTACAGATATTGACCTAAATATTAGTGTTGCAGTAGTTGAGATCAATTCCCAACTTATATTTAGAAAGCTACCAAATTGCAAAACATCTTTGCTTCAATCTAACATACTGTATTTTCCGGAGTATAAGTCGCATCAGTCAAAAAAAAAAAAAAAGCATCATGAAGAGTAAAAAAACATATAAGTCGTTTTGGCGTATAAGTTGTGTTTATTATGCAACTTTTTAACGGTAAAAACAGCTTCATTTCATCTGGGCGGCGTGGTGCCATCCATCCATCGCGGCCAGAGCCGCTAGCTCTCCAGCGTTCCTCCGCCTGCACCAGCTGCGCGAAGCGAGCGTGCGCAGGAGGACTCACTGTTGCAGTTCTTGGAAATTTAACAAGATTAAACACTTAAAAACAATTATTTGTTTGCTTAACATTATAGCAAAGGTTTGTCTCAGTTCAACTTTTCCTTAATAAATGCACTTTAATGGTCAAATGGTCAGTCAAAAATTGTGTTATGAATATAAAAAAAACGCATTTAAGTCGTAGAACTGACAAATCTATGCAAAAACTGTGACTTATACACCGGAAAATATGGTAGTTAAGTCAGGTCCTACGGATGTTTTTATTTTTTATTTTGTTGAAACGTTTCATCCTTCATCCAAATCCAAGGGACTTCATCAGTCCATGGCGCCACAACAAACTCAGTCCCACAAGCAGCACACTCACATAGTGGGCCAACCAGTTTGATGGTGATAAGATGGTTTGGAGTGCGCACTCTCCCCGTCGACTTCTCTGAGGCAGCCATTTTAAGGCACCTTTGCTTAAAATTTTGCCTTTAACTGTTTGGCGTCAACTCTCGTCCATCGGGTGAATTTTAACAAAACTTTCAGGAAAACAGTCATTGCATGAACCTCTTTAACTCTCAGCCAATTCATGACGGATGCAACAGCCAATGGACCATAAAAAAAATAAAAAAAATAATACATAAAACAGTTTTAATTCAGTAATTTGGCATAAACCATTTTAAAATCTGGTGTTGTAGTTGAGCGTCATTCGCAGTCACGGATCGTGCACAGCAGTATTTTCTAGGTTTGACCAAAACTGTAAGAGTTTCATGATCGTAGTATAAATCTCTGGCGACGGGCAATGTGTAATCCTTCAGGGACTGTTAGGCCTTTGTTTGAAATGAGCAGAAAATGTGACAAGTCTTTAGAAATAGGAAACATTTTTAGAGCTGTACCTTGTCGAGCTGACACTGACATAGTGGAGATGATTAGAATCTACCAGAAATGACACTTAAGCTAACAGGAAGTGGTGGTCTGTGGTGGGTGAGGAGGAGCTCTCAGTGTTGGTGCACAAATTTATAAGCTTTTTCCACTTAAAAACCTCTGGTACTATATTTAACATGGCAAAAAGTCAAGCATTTAGGCTACCTAAATATAATAGGGTAGCAATAACAAAAAGCATAGATGTTAATGTTTTAAATTAAAAACTAAACTATCAAAGTTCCTCATGGACACAAATTAGCCATCTCCAGGTGTTCCGATCATTGCATCAGTTCTTCTCAGCTTTCTTTTACATCACTTTAACTTCAAGTCGAAAGCAGCTGTTCGTTTCGGAGCAAATTGATGGCCTTGCCGCGAGGGAAAGTTACACCAGACTAGCTCCATTTATCAGCCGTCTTTGGAAATACTGTCCACAACCCCGGAGCTTTGAAGGAAACTATTTGTGATATAAACTCTTAAAGCTGATGCACTGCAGCACAGCTATCATCCTGGACAACCAATTAAACATCCCAAAACACACAGGAAAACAGAGCATGTTTTCTCACAGCCTCCACCCAGTACGTATCATCCGAGTCTGACAGGAACTTGTAGTTTTTGTTTAGAGGAACTACAAGGACAGCAGAGGAAGTGCAGCGCACGTATGAACTGTGGCCTTTTAAAGCTTCAAATAATCTCCTTTCAACCAACTCTGCCTGCTCATAAATAACGATATACATCATTTTAATTTAAAGGGTTGCAAGAAAATTCCTCCAAGTCAACTTTATTCAAGATTAGTCAAGTTTAATTTTTATTTAATTAGGTTCACTCACTTTTTACTTGTTTCAGGTTGCTTTAAAATAAATCTTTTTAACACGAGAAAGGCCTAGCATACGATGCAGGGATAAATGACGCCCACCGGGTTTCACGCCAGAGCTGAAAACTAAAGTCATTTTAGGTTGAAATGGGAGTTCTAGTCAGATTTGTCAAACCCTATAAAAGTTGTGCATAATCCCATGCAGTATTGCAATATAGTCTGTCATCTGTTTGCGCTTGAAGAATGTGTTGAGGATTATTCTCAGCTACTATCACACCAAACTTTAGCTTATTATCTGTAAAACTGGCCATTTCTGCATTGGCTAAAATCACATTGCTGTGGCAGACATCTTGAATCGTGGTGACTCCGAAAGATAATCAGTTATAGATGCCAACCCAATAATTATTATCCTAAAATTTTATTAAAAATCTCAGTCAGTGAACGCCAGTGGGTCGGAAAGTTTGGGAACCTGCTCTAATTTATGTCAGGACATAAAGTGGACCTAAATATCAGAAATTAAAGTTGTGATCTGGTCTGTAGTTGATATGAAACAGATTTCAACAATTCCAACAATCTGATAAAGAGAAGCAGCAAAGAAACACATAACACATTATAACTCATCCCCCAATCATAAAGCAGTACGAGTTTTGATTCAACACTACGACACAATACTCTTCACTTCCACAGTCTTTGAGGTCATGGCTGACACTTAAAGGCCCAAATTTAAACTAAACTGCACAACCTTTTAAAAGCATGAATAATTTATTCCTGTGCATCTCCATTAAATACACAGAAAAGCATTAAATGTCTATTCTACAAGCAGTTCACCGTGTTTCCGATGATCTTTTCCAACACCAAACACAAACTTTCCATTTGGACAACAAATCCCGTCCATACTGCATGGGGGAGAAGAAATAGAGATGAAGACGTTCAAACAGTTTTTGCCTGCAGATGTGTCGGTGGGATAGAATGAAATGAAATCTCGGTAAGAAATCACAAGAAGCCTTGTATCGCAAAGTACAACTGTTCATTCCTCTCTGCCAGACAAAAATACACAGAGTATCTGAAAGGACATACCTTTCCATCGATGCCTGAGAATAAAAAAAGAGGTCACTCCATACTCTCACACACTTAGAATAACAGCAGCCAACAACAAATAGAGAAGAATGCCTCAAAATCCACCTTTTATGTGGGCCCGCACTGACCTCAAACAGGGAAAACCTGATAACTTGATCTATAAAGACTAGAGCTCGACCGATATGGAACTTTTGGCTATCGCCAATACCGATACTGGGAGGGGCAGGCTAATGCCGATAACCAGTATATTGGTTGAAAATGTTTGAGCTTTGTCCACTCCCAAGAATCTAAGTAAACGGCTACTTTTAAACATGCTTTAACACTTGAAGTCTTGAAACAGTCCTAGTGTAAACATTTTCTATCCTCCACTATTCACCATAAAGTTATCAAGGGTTACAAAAATATAAATTAAACAAAGAAACGCCCTTCCCTTTTCATTGTTTAAACAGTCAAGTCGTGTATGGTGAAGGCCTAGTTAGTATCAACTTCAGCAACATTATTTTTTTCTTTGAAAAGAAGTAAAGATTTCAGATAAACAATGCATTTCATTGAGGACGACAAAGATAACGTTACTAGCACTGATCTATATTTACCTCTAGGTTAGAGGCAAGAGCCTATGCTAGGTTATCTAAACGTTAGCCTGCTAACTTGGGAGGCACGTAGCTAATGACAAGTGGGTTGGAGGATTGAAGAGAATCTTGTTGATTTTTTATTTTATTTTACAGATCAGTTAAAATAAACTTATCATGCTCTGTTCAGCAAAATACGCTACGCAGTTTTTCCCTGTTTCGGCTGTGCTGAATGTGAAAGTGAAACTTA